ATTTTAATTAAGAATAACTGATATGTTATTCACCATAAACCCAGAAGTGGCGGCAGAATATGTCGTACACCGGACGGCAGAATTTAGGGAAGACAAAAATTTTTGGAATTTGGAGAAGCACCGAGCAGCAAAATTAAGGGATGAGAAGCTTTCTATAATGCAAACTTTTCGTAATTGAAAAACATGCATAATCTCAAGCATTTAAAGGAGTAACGACTTTCCCATATATCATGCAAATTAAACTGTATGGATTACACAAGCGTTAATATATGACTGGTTTGAAAATTATTATATACCCGAGGGAAGATTAAAAAATAGTCCTGATTGTATAGACAACTGTTTGGCTCATACTTCATTTAAAGTTTTAGCGAAAGATAATGTATCTGCATTATTCTTCCCTCCAAAATTGTACATCTGTCATTCAGCCTATGGATATCGGAATAGTGCAAGCGCTGAAATGCAAATATAAATTAGTATTTTTAAAATCCATCTTAAATTTCTTGAAAAAGGGCAAGACTATTTTCAAGAATATTTTAAATATTTTAGCATAAAATATGCTGTGTGGAGCATCAGAAGATCGTGGAAGAATGTGTCTCCAGATACATTAAAAAGTGCTTGGCATAATTAATTTATGGCCAGCTACCATATTTCATGGTGAGGATGATGAAGATGAAAGCCGCGAATTTGAAGGTTTTTGGATATCGCAAACTAAAGGTGAATTTTCCAGTTAATGGATTTTGTAAAGAAAATGAAGATGATATAACAGAAGTTTTTCATTGCGATGACAACACCCCAATCATCAATCAATTAACGGACAGCGAAATCTGTAGTATGGTTCTAGATCCAGAAAATATGACTACCAATAGTGAAGAAAGTGACAGAGAGGTTATTGAAAATGAAAAAGCTTCGATTGACAAGTTAGTCAGTATTCTCGACACAGCAATTACAGTACTTGAAGAGTGGAACTTGTAACTGAACAAGAAATTATGTCTGTTTATAGAATTAAAGAGAAAGTATTAGCACAAAAATGAAACAACTTAAACAACTTACATTGAAAGAAATGTTTAATAAAATAAACAAATAAATATTAGGCTTTTTTTTTTTTTTTGTTGTTGTTGTGTTTTTGTTTTTGTAAATTTTGATACCCTTTAGATCATAATTGCTCTTTATTTCATAAATTACGATTTCATCTTTATAATTATATAATTTCTGCATGCCATCTTACCAGATTTAAATTGATGATCTAATATCCGGAAAAATCCCAAATCCGGAATCGCTGAAGTCCCGAAGAGTCCGAATTATGAACTTTGTACTGTACTTAATAGTATATTGTATTTACCTATGAAATCAAAGCATATGTTAAGGTCTATAGTTTCTGTTTAAGAAGATGCAAGATTCACAAACAAGCTATTTACATCACCTAAGCATTTTTTTAAGATTGCTTCTATTATGGGTGATTTTATTAAATTTTTAACTCCATGAAACCAGAAGGTCATCTGTATGTAATATTTTTCATCTGGCATTATTATCTAAAGAAAAGAAATGAACATTTTCAATCATCAACGTCATTCAGTGAAACAAAACCACAGAAATCTTGTCTAAACATCATTATGCCAAAGTGTTCCTAAGCATATTGGGAAAGATGTCATCGGAAACTACATCCAACAAAAAGGGATGGGTTTTTCCCTATGCAAGCTGTGCAATATAGAATGCTTATATACAAATGGGTAAATGTTTAATATGGAGAGCAACTTCTTTTATTCAAATAACATGTAGATTTCAACATGATTCTTTTTCACTCACCAACAATAAGCCAGGTGACTTAGGAGATGAGGGAAAAGCTCTAAATCCCCCATATAGTATTCATTTGCCTACTCAAGTGATGTAAGGAAACATTAAAAAGAAGTATTTTAAAATTAATATCATGTATCATTATATAAAGTTAGATGTATTTTATTTATTTATTTATTTTATTCTTTTTTGGGGGGGGTTACTTTTAAAGTTACCAGCTGTTAAATCTGCTAATTTAAAATTGTAAATTTTGCAAAAATTTAGAGACTATTCTTGAAAATGTAATAAATATACATAACCTTAAATTTCGAATTATATATTTATCAGAAATTGCTTGAAAAATCCTTTTGCTATACAAGAAGTAAAGATTAAAAAATTGCAGATTAAAAACAGTTAATCATGTTACTAGCTCAGATTATGTAAAAACATTAAAATTCAAATACTTTATAACAACAACCAAAATTCATATAATAAAAAGCATAATTTTTCTCTACATTTGTCTAGTAAAATAACTAAAGCAGGATGAAAATACAGCAGATTAAATTAAAATAAATAATAAAATATATTTAGAATTGATTTAATCTAGTTATAATTTGGTGACATGTTCTATGATGCATAGCTTTCCCACACTTAAATATTTATCTTTTTATGAATTAACACTTTGAGTGCTAAATCACCTAGCTATGGGCTACATACAGATTAAAAAAAAAAAAAAAAAAAAAATCAATTGCAATAAAATTTAAACAATAAAAATTAATCCCTTTTCTTAATTCCCATCAACAGTTTGGAGAGATTTGCAATAAAATCCATCCAAGATAAAGCAATGTTGTTGCCAATGGATGTATAAGATCTTTTATTAATTTTGATATTACAAAAGTCCATTGCTTAACCTGATCATTTAAAAGTCATTTTATCTGGACTTCTCAACAATATTTTGCAACAACTGTTATTTTACTATTACAACAACATTTACGATCATAATTAAAATAGGTTTCTGGCACCTTATAATCAGGGTCATCATTATGCATTTTGCCCCTCAGTGCAAGTCCTAAATTTCCCTGCTTGAATTCTTAAAATCTAAAAATTTTGCTGCCCCCCCAAATTCTGTTACCCAGTGCCTTTCATAAATCCTAAAATTTTATTATCCATAAATTTTGCTTCCCAGTGCAGCTGCACAAATTGCATGGCTCTGGTGCTAGCTGTGGCAAAACAGATCACTAGTAAAACTTATTTAATTATTTTATATATATATTTTAAATTTGCTTTTTACGAATAACGAATATTTGTTAAATTCAAATATATATATGGAAAAATACGTAAATGCATGCAAAATATATGTAATATACATACAACATGCCCTTATCTAGCCTTGTTTTCATAATCATTAATCACTGATATGTATTTCCAGTTAAAAAAATATTTTTAAGTGAATCAAAAATTCCTGGTCTCATAGTTTTAAGTTTTAAAAAATTCATTTTGTATGTTACTTTTTACACATTTCTCCAGTCCATTTATATTTAGGAAAATTTTGTATTCATTATAAAACATAATGTATATATATATGACTCTGGTACAACAAAAGTTAACTGAGATTTTTGATATTTCAACATTATATTTAGGAGCCATACACAAATTGAAGAACAAACTCTTTGTATTTGTACATAACTAAAAATAAAATATTATTTACAAAAAGGCTCCTGATACTAAGTAATTACGTGATGAGCATTTCTATGCAGATTATATTGCAAAAAATATTGGATCAATACAAATTTTTAAAAATGCAGATCTTATTCACAGAATCTCAAACAATTTTTGTTTTAGAGAACAATTAGGAGGCTTCAGTTATTAGCACATAGCCAACTTGTAATATTATTTGCAAAATTTAAAATATATATATATATATTTGTACTTTAATGTATTTTTTTATGATCACCAGATTATCATTCTAAAGTAATAAACCTTCATGAAACTATTAATAACATATTTTTAGATTCTGAAAACTTATAAATTACTGTGTGTGAATGTGGAAATTCTTTTGGCAAACCAAATATCACAAAATTATAAATAAAAACACTAGTAATTACAAAAGAATATGATAGAATTTCACTTAAGGGGACAAAATCTACCTCAAATTATTTTAATTTATTTATTAACTGACCCTTCAATGCAAATTCAAAACGATGTTAAATATAGCAAATTTTGAACAAATTGAAATAAAATATCTTTGTCAATTTTGTCATATGAGAGTCACATTTTTCATGTTTAATTTTTTATAATGAGTATGAAATTTTACTATATATAAATATAAAGACAGGAGAAAAGTATATATCATTTTACTCAAACAGTAAAATATTTTTAAATTTTGTTATATTTCTCTGTTTACAACCACTTTACATTTAAAAAAGAAATGCAGAAACATACTGGAGATTTAAAAGCTGAAATTCTTTTTTAAGTGGAGTTTTACTTTTATGTCACAGCAAAGACTTCGTTTAATGAGATGGTAACAATAGATATTACTTTCATTTAAAAACAGAAGCAATATAATTGTATTCTTAAAAAAAAAAAAAAAAAAGAAAGAAAGAAAGAATTATGATTAAAGCTATTGGATTGCAAGGTATATTACCTTCCTTTCTTTAAAAAATTCCATTATATATATATATATATTAAAATAACATTTATCAGACATAATGGGAAATATATAATCTTTTTATTGATTTCCCAGTCTCTAACTAATCTAAGGAAATGCCTATATTTCTTATCACATTACTTCTCTTCACCCCTCTCCAATTGTACATCAATTGGCAACAATTACAGTGTTTCTCAGTTGGCAAAAGAAATATTTAAAGAGAATTATATAATTTCAATAGCAAACATGGTCTTTTGGTACACTTTGATTTTAATACATATTTTTAAAAACACATGTTTAGGCTGTATTCTATTGGAACTTCATTAATAATGAAAAGAAAATGTGTTTCATTTTCAAAGCGTTAAAGCAATTTACAACTCCTTAAAAAAAAAAAAAAAAAAAAAAGTACATGAATACTGTTTATGAAAGATGAAAATATACATAAAATGCTAAATAAAACAGTATGTTGTACAGCAATAAAACTTCATAAAAACTGCGTCCATTTAATGATTATTAAAAAAAAATTACCACTGAAGACAATAAAAACATGTTTTCTATAAATGAAGGCAATGGAAATGAATTATTTCACAATCAGAAATTTTTACTTAAAGTATTGATTATGAAAATGCATAACAGTTTTAAAAATATTCTAATCATTATTACTAAAAGCAACTGCCTTCCTTTTCTTCCTTTATGTAAGAACCCACTAAAATTTTATAGAGACCAACAGTGTAAAACATAATTAAATAATTCAATGTCTATTTATATTTAGAAAGCCCTAAAATTATGGACATGCATACCACTTCACCACAAATGGAAAATGTAACATGAAAATCATTCTAAACCAACCTATAACTACAAGACTCCAATACAGAAACAGGATTTACAAGTTTTGTACATGAAACACAGCTACAGCTGTAAACAAGGTTCATTCCCCTCCAAAAAAAGTTTCATTTTTGAGTAACTGATCCACGAACAACACCAGCTTGCTCATTCATTGTGACAAGTGAAGAAGGTGTTAGGGAGGACATATTACCTGTTGGTACAACACTAGGCATGCTTACAACTACAACAGGTTTGACAATAGGCTGACTTGAAGAGCCAACAGAGACTTGTTGTAAAAATTGTTGCTGAATTATTGGAATTGGGTTAATCTGATTCACAGATTTCAAAACAGGAGAAGCAAGAACTTTTCCCAGAGACTGCTGGTGCACGGCTCCAGTATGTGATACCACCGAAACAGACCCCACCAGTGGAGTTACAGCAGATACATGGCTACCTGGAGTTACAATTTGTCCCACAGGAGCAGTTATAGGGGACTGTGAGACAACATGGGCAACATGAGCCACTCCAGCAATATGCGGTAAAGATCTTACAGGATTTGACGTAATTGGTTTTAGACTTGATGTAACTCCATGGTGAGCACCATTATTTATTTGGGAACCTGAAAAGTATAATAATGCACACATTACTTATCAAATTTCACAAATTCACATAATAAAATTATGATTTAAATTTATCCACATAAGACATTCACTTTAACTCATCTGTGGTGCCTCTTTATATATCTGTGGTGGTTACATATCTCTTTATTTATCTGTTGTGCCTCAAAATATGTGATACATACGTGCATGACTTAAGATTATGCATGCACTTATCACATATGTGTTTGAGTACATGCAAATTTATAAGGATATAAATATTGACTACACAGACTTTTTTTCACAAAATACTTATTATTATTTATGACCAGAACAATACCTATCAGCTGTAAAGGCTAATTTACAAAGTTGCAAATACGTTGTTAATTTCTCTTAGGTCTGCAGATAATCAGAGAGTACTAGTATTAAATTATCTAATTTTTTTATAATTTCATTGCACATTAATATTCTGACTTATTAGTTTTGTTCAATAATACATCAACTTTTCTATAATCAAACACAATACATTAAGAAATAGGCACAATTTCTTTATCGCAAGAAAAATTATCAATGAAAGTAAAAGCTATGCCAATTATTTTTATACTGGCCAAATGAAGATTATTCCATATTCATTTCAAACATCATGCAACTGATGAGCTGAATTGAACCAAACTGAAGAGCTATAAAAACACAAAGAATTCTTATAGGGTTCTCACTAAAATTTAATTTCCTTGGTTTTCCAAGGCCAAATGTTATGATTTCATTATCAAGTGTGATTAATTAAAAATTTTTGATTGTTTACTTCAAAATTTCATACAACAACTAAGAATATTATCAAAATTAATCTTTCCTTTATTCTAAAAATATTAAGATATATAGTAAATGTTACCATAAAAGATTGAAATAAGAGAATATCAATATTTTCAAGTGATTCTCAGCACATTCCAAATAACTTGGTGAAAGACCAATTATTTGGTTATATTCTCACCAGTATTCTAACACTATAATTTCTTTATGTTTTCATTTATAAGATTATACTCATATATGGATATTACAGCACAAAGTCTGAGATCCAGACTTCTCCGAATTTTAACAATTCTGGATTTGGGATATTTCTGCATATTAGATCAGTTTAACACTAAAATTATGGGAATGGTCATTTCAACCCTATCTCCATTTTAATTGAACATAACCTTTTTTACCTCTTTATTTATAACTTAGAGTAGAAATAGATATTTTGTGACTTTTCCTAAAATCTTACGAGTATTACATCATACTTTTTTTGTTCATTTTAAGTAATTATTCTCAATAATATTATTGCTTATACCTAGAATTATGGCTTTTGGTAATTTTGATTGTATCCAGAAAATTATACATTTCAACATTTTTATGACTTTTTAAACTAGTTCTGGTTTGCTGACAGACAAACAAGTATATTTTGGTAAGGAAGATTGCATAGTGTGTGGGGAGGTGAGGAGGGGGAAAAAAACATCTGTTTGGAATTTTTGCATGCCACATATCTGCACATTTTGCTTATATTAAAAAGTTTATTTTTCAGTAGGCACAAATGTACTTTACTTCATTTGGATAGTTTTGTTCTGACTTGTTTATCATGTTGCGTAGAAGAGTTAGTAGAAAATATCTAAAAGGGAAGCGATGCTGAAAGTCTTTTTGATGATAATTCTGCTTCAGAAACTTAGCCTGATGAAGAATTTCATTCTGAAACTGCATCTAGTTTATCCGACGAGGACTGGATTGCTCCCACTGAAAAATGCGAATCCGATTTGTCTGATAACCTGTTCATGAAACAGAAAAGGAAAATAATAATTTAAATTAAGATACCAAAGACTACAAACTGATCCATTTGCCCTTGTTTCGGATATCTGGAATGCTTTTATAGAAAACTGCTTGAAATGATATAAACCGAGCAAAAATATAACAGTAACAGTGGATGAAAGATTATTTCCCATGAACACAACGCTGATTTATTCAGTATATGCCTAAAAACGTCAGACAAATTCAGCATTAAATTTTCACTTGCTATTGATCTGCAGTCAAAATATTACTGAACGGATTTCTCTATTTCAGAAAAGATAAAACAAGAAGAGCTGGAGAAACAGGTAGAAGAACATGGAGCTTTTCGCTTGATGAACAGCTGAAATTAGTAAAAGAAATAAGGAATACAGGGATGAGCTGCGTTGACTCAAGAAATCATTCAAAAAGAGAAGTATCTTATTATATTCAACCAAATATGGAATTGATATTTTGGAGCCGATGGCCACAAAATACTCCGTGAAGCCTTCAGCTGTTGGCCAGTTCAAGACTTTTTTTTAACATCATTGATTTGGTAGTGATAAATGCATGGATAATTTACAAGGAAACAACCGAATATAAGAATATCAGGAATTGTGATTTTATTTTGAATATGGCTGAAGATTTTCGAAAGATTTACCTTTCATCCCAAATTCACAAACTTCCTGTATCTAATGAAAAGAGAATGCGTACTTGCATCAACCCTTCCCATAAGCGTAAACAATGCCACATAAATGCATGCAAAAGCAACAAAACTTTGAATACTGTAAAAAATGTATTTGTGGAACCTGTATAGGTAACATTAAAAAATAAGTAATCTGTATGCACTTGAAAACCGAGTAATGTAAGTACTAATATGTGTAATTTTTAATATATTTATTTCATTTTGAAAACTTTTATGAGGCGATTTATTAAACGATAAGAAGTTTTAAAATGCCTAGACTTCTTTTGGCCCTTTGTTATATTAAATTATCCTTCAATTAATATATTTACTCACTTTGCTTTATTTTGCTCTTTGTTACATTAAATTATCTTTGGCTGCACATACGAGGCGTATTTGAAAACTAAGTATTGTTTTGAAAAAAAAAGTAAAACAATTTTTTTGAATCCAATTTTATTTTTACATGAAAATACACGTCTTAAACTATTTTTCAACATAGTTTCCGCCAATGATCAAACACTTGTCATAGCGGGTGACCAGTTTTTGTATACCATCGTCAAAGAAACTTCCCGCCAGTTTCGATAACCACGACTCCACAGCATTTTTCATGTCATCGTCAGATCCAAAGTGCTTGCCACCAAGCTCGCACTTCATGTGCAGGAACAAGTGATAGTCGGACGGTGTCAAGTCCGGGCTGTACGGCGGGTGATCAAACTGCTCCCAATGAAACTGTCGAATTAACGATTGAGTGACACCAGCAGTATGGGGCCGAGCATTGTCATGGAGCAACACAATTCCTTTACTGAGCATTCCTCTTCATTTGTTTTGAATGGCACGCCTTAGTTTTGTTAAAGTCTCACAATATCGTGCCTCATTAATGGTTTCACCTCTGGGAAGAAATTCTGTAAGCAAAACGCCTTTCCTATCCCAGAAGACAGTGCACATGATTTTTTGTGATCACATTGTCACTTTGAACTTTTGTTTTTTCGGAGAATGAGTGTGTCTCCACTCCATCGATTGTTGTTTCGATTCTGGTGTGAAATGAGACACCCAAGTTTCATCTCCTGTCACAATTTGGTTTAAAAAGTTTTCTTCCTCATCACTGTACCGCGTGAGAAATGTCAGGGCACTACCAAGTCGCTTTGTTTTGTGAACATCAGTGAGCATTTTTGGAACCCATCGGTAACACAGTTTGCGATAATTCAAGCGGTCAGACACAATTTCGAACAAAACAGTACGTGAAATTTGTGGAAATGCCTCTGAAAGAGTTGTCATTGTGAAGCGTCTGTTCTCATGAATTGCTTCATCAACTTTCCTTACCAAATCATCGGTGACAACAGAAGGCCTACCACTCTGAGCCTCGGCGTGGACATTTGTTCGACCTGCATTAAACATTCTTACCCCACTTTCTCACCATTCCATCACTTATCGCATATTCACCGTAAACTTCTGTCACTTGACAATAAATTTCGGCCGGTTTAACATTCCTCGCGTTCAAAAATTTAATCACGGCACGAATCTCACAGTCAGCGGGAAAACTAATTGTCTTAAACATTTTGAATGTGCACAGCAAACTGAAAACACAACATAGAGCAACCAAAATGGCGACAATTGAAAGTCAGTAAACAAGAAAGACTAGTGCACATGCGTGGGACGCCTACCACAGCGCTGCGACGGTGCTAAAATGAAACGGTACTTTGTTTCTGAATACGCTATGTATTTACTCAATTTACTTTATTTTCTTATTAAACAAGCAAAATGTATCGTTATAATCATTAACTTAACATAATATTAGCAAAGAGCGAGCCTTTTCTTCTATTCAGAACAAGTGGTCAAAATAGCCACTGATCATAATTATCATAATTATGGGTTTACGCAAAATGTCGTAAAGCTAGTATTAAACCTAGTGTGACGACACATAGAAATTAGAAAATTAAAAATATGAAATAGTGATTTATGAAATAATAAAGCATTTATGACCTTAAAAAATTTAAATTTACAAAAAGAAAAAGGGAGAACTCAATATTTGTTTGCTATAAACTTTTGCTATTATAAATTTCTTTCACTGTGTGCTACTTAATTTGCTTTTTTAGGCTAATATTTTCTCTTTAATTCTGCAGATAGACATAATTTTGTGTTCAGTTATAAAGATCCATTCTTTAAGCCCTGTAATTGCTGTGTCGAGAATTGCCATTAAATTGTAAATCGAAATTTTTTTGTTCTCAACAACCTCTATGTCACTTTCTTCACTATCGGCAGCAATATATTCTGGATTTATAAAAATATGACAGATTTCACCATCTGTTAGTTGACTGTGATTAGGGCACTGTCATCGCAATGAAAAACTTGTGTTATATTTATCCATTTATTAGCATTTCTTCATAAATTCCATTAATTGGAAAAATTCCCTTCTTGTTTGCCATATCTAAAAATTTTGAAATTTTTAGAATTCGTGGCTTTCATCAATTGCTATACACTATTGAAAATGTATCATGACATTGGAGACTAAAGATATGTTGTTCCGCAAATTCTATTTTGCTTCTAACGTAA